TCAAATATCCACAAATATTTCGTTGCGGTTTTATCTTTACATCGTAATTTTAATCACCGCCAAACATTTTTCAAACGATGCTGTCATTCACCATTTATAAGCAGTAAAAAATAATTTGCTACATTGGTGACAAAATGTTTCTAGTTTCGCATCATACGAATGTAGTTTTAATGAAATGGCGTACAACAAAAAAACCGATAATGAAGCATACACAAGACAAGTGCAGTCATCAATACGATTAATGTCACAAACTGAAAATTGCTTAGTTTGAATAGATGAGTTTTACGTTTACGTAACTGGATAATTATAAAAGAGATAAACATGAAAAGAGAGGTTTGAATGATCAATCGGCTAGCAGTCTCTCACGGATATTTTATTTGAGCAACAATTGTTCCAGATTGATCGATCACTTTTGCAAATGACAGGTTAATACCTATCTTCTGGAAATAAACCTGCTAATTAGGTTTGCCACATCCCCAGTCCATTCTATCCCGATTAACAGTTCCATAGCACTACATTATATAAAGCATGAGCTACTGTAATGGCTATTCTCCAAGGGGTTAACAATAGAAGCAGAGGGCCACAATGACGTCAAACCATCAACCTGACGTCCATAATTAGTTTGGAAATTGCATAATAGACCAAATCACAATCGACAATGTAACTAATCAGTCGTCGGAAAAGGCGTCTTCACGTTTTAGTATTATATATTTTCAAAATTGTATTGCATGATCGTCTTTAATCGCATGGGGGAATAGAAGATATAACTCTTATTTCAAGTTGCAAATTCAAATTCTTGAAAATATTGCATGGTATGGTATGGCATATGATTTGAACGCCTAAAACTGTACGTATAACGTATTGGTATTGGCTACGTATACCACAGTGGAACATAGTCATATAAAATTGAAATGAGAGGCTCAGAAGTAAAACAATTTTCGATATATTTTCCGTTTATGGTAATTCATGCAGCAGAAAAATGTCTGATCTTGAGGACGCTGATAACTTAACTGCTTAGTTTAAGGCACTATGGGGAATTACACAAAAATACACGAATCTTTACTTTTCCTGGAATTATGCGACACCATAATGAGAGACAAATCCCATTCACGCTCTCTTATAATCAGTTTCCGTGAAATTCGCCACTTCTCCATTTATCTCGACCATGGTCTAGTTCTCTACATCTCCTCAGCGACAGTTAAGTATGTAAATCAGAAAGAGGATTATTAATAATTTATCACCAATTCAAACCATTATGTTAAGTCTAGGCTAGTTACCACATAATATAAAATTCTGATACTAATCATATTTTCTGTCTTAATACGTAAGATCAGACTTGAGAAGCCAAGGGAATACTTGGCGATCGTTGTCTTGCAAGAAAGGCAATGCTGGCTCAAGATTTTATGACATAGTGTGATTACATACAAGATCTTGTATGTTAAAGCAAGGACCCGAATTCATCCGGGGGTACATTTTCGAGTTTAACCAAAATCGCCTACATTTTATCTCACTCATCAAAACTTAAAAGATTCAACGTTTTGTACAAGTAAAACATGGAAGCGCGAGTCGTGAGTCGAGTGTACTTGAAAATACGCGTTCGGATGATATATTTGATCATCTAAAACCCAGGGGGTCATGGGATATGAATCTGCGACAGCGACACGTTCCCCATATTGTGTTTCCCCCCTGGTACTTAAAAACTAATAAACCAAAAAGACACAAAAAGTGTAGACAACTACAGGAATCATTAATCAAAATCGATATCAAAGTAAAGTTGCAGCAAAGACTTGAGATTGTAAATGTTGGAAGCAAAAAGAATGCCAATTTTACCAATGCAGTCCTAAATTATTTTCTAAAAAAAAATTGAGATAAAGGTAAATGATGCAAAAATGCACATTCTTTTTCCATATTTTCTTGATAACCCGAAGAATCAAAGGAATATATCCTGAAACAATGTTAGACTCAACTGTTAGACTCTTGGTATGGTTCTTTATTGTAACATTTTTTCCATAACACGTCTTCGTAACACTGCAGATCTGACATTGAAGTTTGGTGTAATCTGTTCATTGGAACGATGTTGAAGGAATCTACTTTATTGTAGAATATCAGCGATATGTTAAACAAAAAGAATAATCTAAGTTTCACCATACTGTAACTTTAAAACTAAAACATACTTGATCAGGTGTGAATGGCATTCGGAAGTTTCAATTTCAATTTCCACGCCATTCGCTTGCAAATGTAAGGATTAGCGAACAGAAAAAGCTATTGCCTGACTCCGAAGTTTGATTAGATTTTTATTTCCCATGAAACGGATTTAATGTAGTGATACTCTTTCATCTTCAATCAAGATTAATTGATCAGGCTCGTTATCTTTTGTTTGCTACAATAACGAGAACAGCAGTTTAATGAACATTGGATGGAATCAATAAAACAAATATATTTTCTTTGAATCATTGACATTTACATATCCTTGAAATGAAGTTATACGCTTATACCTAGGATATGATATGAGGATAACGATATGATATTGGGAAACTGTTGCTGTATATCCACATTAGAGGTCGTCAGTCGTATTCCCGCACCTGACTGGCCCATCGGGATAAATGTTATTTATTCTATGCCAAGTAGCCAAGAGTTTTAAGGAAATAATTTGGTAAGATATATCCCGTATCCTGATTTTGAGGTTTCCATATCCAGAACCTCCATATCTCCCGCTCCAAGGCATATCTTCCCGCTTTGAAAAAAATTTTGAAAAAGAATTGAGAAAAATGTGAAAAAATGTTGAAAAATTAGAAAACTGGGTATAGGATAAAGCAGTTGTGTACGGTCGGTTTGGATATGGAGTTTATCCTTCGGTCCCTCAGGTAGATATGCATATATCCCACTGAATAAACCCCATATCCTAACCCTCCCAGTAGATAACCCTTACATATCCACCCCGGAAGTTGCCATTCATTCCCTATCTTGATTGTCCCATTGGAATAAATTTTAAATCCACTCTGGAGGCTGACTTGATTACGGAATAAATGTTATATCAACTCAGGAGACTCATGCATATCGGAATAAATGTTATATACATCCTGGAAGTTAACATTAGCATTACCCAACCTGAACTCTATAAAATATGATGTCACATCTTGCTACACAACTTTATTATAGATAACTGTAATATATACCACAGCTTACACCTCACTTATCACGATATTGTACCACACTGCAAAAACTGCACCATGTCTGGGGATTCCTATTTCACACCTCACCACACTATACCACAACACGTCGCCATTCACCTCACATCATCCTTCACAATGTACCTATTCCCACACCCTACACGAACTTACGTCATTCACCCCACAGCATACTTCAATATACGATCGCACCTCACCTAATCACACTGCACCCATTCCCACACCCTACACGAACTTACGTCATTCACCCCACAGCATACTTCAATATACGATCACACCTCACCAAATCACACTGCACCCATTCCCACAACCTACACCAACTCACGTCATTCACCCCACAGCATACTTCAATATACGATCGCACCTCACCTAATCACACTGCACCCATTCCTACACCCTACACCAACTCACGTCATTCACCACACAGCATACTTCAATATACGATCGCACCTCACCTAATCACACTGCACCCATTCCCACACCCTACACCAACTCACGTCATTCACCCCACAGCATACTTCAATATACGATCGCACCTCACCTAATCACACTGCACCCATTCCCACACCCTACACCAACTCACGTCATTCACCCCACAGCATACTTCAATATACGATCGCACCTCACCTAATCACGCTGCACCCTTTCCCACACCCTACACCAACTCACGTCATTCACCCCACAGCATACTTCAATATACGATCGCACCTCACCTATACTAATCACACTGCACCCATTCCCACACCCTACACCAACTCACGTCATTCACCCCACAGCATACTTCAATATACGATCGCACCTCACCTAATCACACTGCACCCATTCCCACACCACACACCAAACTCGCTACCATGTGCGACCCAGTATAGCATACCATACTAACAAAACTGTTATATTCTGAATCACATCTAAGCAAACATCCTCGCCAGACAGTATGATAATTGTACATGGATATAGTAAGAGGAGATATGAATGCATTTGACAGCTTGTATTAAACATTACTGTTCTCAAGACATTCTGACAAGAACATATGCGGTAAGAGCAACAAGTAGAACTGAACAGATCGGTTTAATTTGAGGAAGCATATTGAATAATGTGTTATAGTGAATATGTATCTACTTGGCCCAGATGCATCAATATTCGATTCAGACATCATGGATTCTCAATAGCAAATTGATTTCTGAAATGGTTTTGGATAAGAACATCCCCAATAGGTCTTGACTAGGAGAGAACTTTATCCTGGTTTTGTTTGTCCTCGTCCCACAGGGAGAATTGACTTTTCCCACGCGGTTTTGTCAACGGACCTCGTATCCTAGAAGAATTTGGGCTCCTAAAACCAAAGAGTGGGCCCGAAATTTGAAAATGCAATTAAATTGAATTAAAAAAATAAGGCCCAACAAGTCCCCGACCCCCAAAAGGCCAACTAACTGCGGCCCTAAAAAAACCTTTGAGCACACTTTCTCTGGGCCCATCAAGGGAGGGGTCCTCATCATATTAAGGCGACTGACCAACCCCAGGTCCTGATGAAATAAAAAACTAGGCTAGCACTCATCCAGAAGCAGTGGATACCACAATATTGGTGAAGGGCCTGATCGGCATATAATGATCCCCTTCTCCTTTCTTTTCTTCCAAGAGAGAGAGAGAGAGATCCCGAAAAGCGCAAATGCAATGATAAATACGTAAAGGGACTTAAAAGTGAATGACTCATAAACTTGACGATCAGGAGTTATAGCATGGCTGTCAAACCTGAACAAACCATAAAATACAGCCATGTCAAGTCCCGATAGTCTTTAAGTCATAACCGTCACTTACCTCAACCTCTAAAGCGTGGTAGGCTACTATGAGCCCTAGGAGTATCAAAGTCGACAGCGAGATCAGAGACTTTAAGGCGTAGGAGTACCAAGAATACTGCAACAAAACAACAACAATCAATTAGTAATATTTTTTGGACAAATTCAATCCACACTGAAAGCGAATAAATTACACGTTGTACTGGTAAATCTGTGTTCTTTTATTGTTTCTGTTTGTTTGTTTGTTTGTTTGTTTGTTTGTATTTTTGCTCATTTTCTGGGATACTGGGGACTAGTCTTTATAATCATTTACTCTTGTTGGCCCTTTCCTATCTGTGTTATCCACACAGTTTGAACTTTCCCTTTAAAGTCACTTAAGGCACTTACATACGTTCTTTTGACTTAAATAGTTAAATTTATGTATTCATATATTTTGATTTTGCCTTCCCCTTGCAAGGTCTGTCGAAAGAAAATAAATACGCTAAAGAATCGAGATCAGATTTCCCCATCAGTGCATGCTAGATTGATCTTGAGTCCATGTTGGCGAGATAGATCGATATTGTAATACGCAGTGGACCTTGAAACTTGACGAGTATAAATTTTATCTCCATTTTACGGTATAAGATATGATCATCATGGCAAAAGACAGTTGATAAAATATCATGTAAATTATGAAAAAGGAGACGAGAGACTCATAACTAATAAATCTTAAGGGATGGAGCTTTTACAGTTTTTCAAAACAATATTCTGGAAATGAATATTGAAAGGATTTTTTGGATTAGGTTAGAAAATATTCTCTACAGAGTGACAGACACTAGGGGCGTAAATGAAAATTCCAAATGACAAGGCAATAATAAAAAATGTTGTCATGTGATTTTTCTTATAGTTATTTTTCAAGGTCTGGAAATAGTTTGTGCATAGTGTGGGCACCCTAACCCTAAAATGTTAAATGTCTGAGGGTATATCTTTGCCACCGGTCTTTGTTTAATTTACTGCTCATCAAAAAGTTGTGGGCGTTTTTTAGCCCACTCTGTAGATATTAGAAACAAATGCATCGCCATTGGTCTTAAATTACTGCTCATCAAAAAGTTGTGGACTTTTTGGCCCACTTTGTAGCTATAGTGAGATGACAGGGGGACATATTTTACATAATATCATTAACACTACAGCATATTGAAAGCTCATTTATAGCATGAACTAGCGTGTTTTTCTCGTGCTAAAAAACTTATTCCACCACCTTGTGCGCTTCTGGCTCCCAGCATACCAGAGCTACCTGACAGTCGGGATATTATTAATCTTCGACTGTATATACGCAATAACCTTCAGGCCAGATTATTAATTGACGTTCGCAAAACAACAGCAACAAAAACATCATTAATCCTAAATGCAGTGGGAAACAAATTAAACAAAAACATTTTCCATAACAATGTCAACTTTCATTGAAGCCGACATTTAAAATTTAATGGGAAAGGATCGATTAATCCTCCTTGATCGATAACATAGGCTCAAGAATTATAAGTTATTCATATCTACAATAGATTGTTAATGCTCAAACCATGTCGGTATGGAACGGAGAAAGCGGGTAGAGCAACATATGTTGTTTGTTATAACAGTGCCCGATTCTACCTTACCTGATCAAGAATAACATACATATCTGTCACAGATAAATACCATGGGAATTCAGAATGACGGAAATATCTGTCACACGATTTTAACTCAATTCGTCCATTTCGTACCCTGCGTGCAGAGTCTAGTTAAACTACTCTTTTAAGAAGTGAAGTCAAACGAATACAAAGGGTATCCATTTCGTGGACAATTTTATTCATTATACACAAGTAATACTTTAAAATATGTATAGTTGATCGCTTATTCTCACTAAATCACAAAACTGAACATACGATGTATGTTTGGACAGTAAAAAAGTGAACAAGGCATTAACATGAAAAATGTCACCTGCTGCTATTTTGTTACAGAAACCGACCGCCGAACGCTGACCGCCAACCGCCAAATACCGTCCACAAAAAGTTGGAGACCAAAGCAACGTCGCCACCGTACAGTGGGGAGAGGGGGGGGGGGTTGGCAGGTGGAAGATACATTTCTCAAAATCAAAACATTGAAATCTGCTGGGAAGCCACAGGTGCTAAATACGATACTTGTTAATTATGGTCTACATACACCTTGTTGTCATTATACATTGTTTATTATTGTATATTGTTTTGTTAAAATCGGTTCGATTCAGATTTTTACATCATCAAAGAAATCCGAGCGTTGTAATGGAAAATCAGCCAGTAGGAATTGATGCTTACAGAGCTCGAATACGTATTGACTTAAGTTAGAACAATCGATCACTCTCTCTATCTAACACTGATGTATTTTAACCGTTATTAGCGCTAATGATCAACGCAATTTCAACGCAATTGTTCAGAATGTTAATGACGAGCTGATTATTCCACTTCATTGAATCCCACATCACGCCTGATCATCTAATATATAACGCGGCTTAAGAATACATTGGAATTCGAGGCCATGATATTTGATATCATGAAGAAATACAAATGATATTGGACATTTTGATATGTTTTATGATACTAATGCTAATATGAAACAAGGCATCGCAAGCAAAATGTCACCACCTGCCATTTGGTACGCACGAACGTCGAACGCGAACCATCAACCGCCGAACGCTGTCCACAAAAAGATGGAGACTATAATATTTTTGGTGATGACATTAAAATTGTTGAAAAACGATATTTAAGTGTGATTATTCTTACACGCTCTATACTACTTTTACTTTTGAAAGTTAGGACATCTTGAATGTTTAAATTAATAAGTGTGATATGTGTGTCTACAATAAAAAAAATCGCATTTGGCTAAAAAATAAACTGACATGTGGATTTATATGGAATTTATTTTGTATCAAAAATTGGACAATCAATACACGATCAGTGTGAAAAGTCGAACCATATGATGCGATACTCAAACTATATGATTCGAAACTCGCATCATAATATGCGAAATACGCATCATCATATGCGATTCTCAATCTATGTTATACCAGCAGTTAATTTTCTTACACAGCTTACATGGGGTGTACCCAAAAAGGACTCATCATAAACATGTTCAACCTTTTCAAATAGTTTTGCTTTAAAGGGATCACAGACCCGTAGCCAGGGGGGTTCGAGGATGCCCCCACGGCCAAAGTTTCTTGCAGTTTTTCACGATTCTGAGCATTTTTCATGTGATTTTGGGCCAAATTTGTCAAAGTGAACTCTCCCCTGGAATTTCTCTGAAAGTGAACCCCCATTGGCAAAACCTGGCTACGGGGCAGGGATCTTTATATACCAGTCTCCTAATACTAGGCTCTGAAACCCTGGGTATTAAATGAAGTCAATGAACCACGGGATCACGTTGTTGTAGGCTTAGCTTAAATTGGAGATCCTGAAACCACGCAGAGCTTAAGCTATCAAGCGTTATTAAGTTTATTAATTGAAAAGAATGCATCCCTGTCTAGTAAAGAGAAGCATGTCAATGAGAAGATATTTTGGACCAAACATTTCACCGCACAAAAAGTTGCACAAGATCTCCCGACCCATTGCCTACTTAACATCCATTTCCCATTTCTTTCTCTGCTTGCAGTAGAGATGAGAGGGTCTTTTCAAATTATATTCTACTAAGACGTCAATGAATAAGAAATTTACCTATCGATGGGAAAACTTTTTTTGCCTTTATTCAATGGTTAGTAAACAAATCACAAGCCGTACCAATGACCGTGAAAAATGGTATAACTTATCATTCTGACCTCATTAGTTCCGTCCCTGAATGTTTCTCTACGCCCCATTGCGAGAGTGAAAAATTACAGCTCGGGGAAATTATTGAGCAGTAAAGTACACTTTATATGGAGCAATTCGATTGTATATATTCACCAAGAGCCCTATTCCTCAGATTTGCCGATCCTAAATTAGATCTAAACCAATTCCCAATGTTGAATTCTTTCATTTCAGTGTCAAATGTCAAAAACCTAAACTAAAACTTAACAAACGCCATTATACAATGAGGGATCCAAAGTCTGCATGATCCCTCGCAAGTTTTAGATAAGAGAGACTCTAATTTATCAAAATGACCATTATGGATTACCACGGTAACTTCGCGTCGTGACGTCAGAGCATCTCGCTACTTCACGAAATGTTCATGATCTATTGGGTTTGGTATTGACTTCAGAGAGACAAACAAAGAAGTATGCCTTTGAGTAGAACGTTGGCTTAATTAGAGTAAACATTTGCTTAACAGGCTCTGTTAACAAGCTAATTTGAGTATTCTATTAATGATTTGATATTGATAATAGCTGTTGTGTCAGAGAATACCAGCGGCCATTTTGGAAAGAATATCACAGCACCTAGAGCATACGATATACTTCATTAAAGGCCTTAATGAGGATAGTGACAATTGTTAAGGTAAACTGATGACCGTCCACCATCATAAAATATAAAACAGGCCATGACCTTTCTTCTGAATTCGATTTTCCAACTTTGTGTGAATGTTTAGTTATAATAGCCGAAACTTTTCATCATTGATTTGAGAACTCGATTTATGTTCATTTTTGATCCATCCGAGTTGTTTCACCAATTCGTTTTCTCTACAATATCTGTAGTTTCATTATCCTTTTAGTTTCAATACATTGCATTTTTAATTAAAAACAATCTTATATCCCATTCTGATCATCTGATGGTCCAGTAACTAATGACACACTACATGTTGTTTGCCCTTGTTACCTTGATATATATGGACGTGGCATGTCGCACAGGCATAAGACAAATTAATAAACGTCACATGTGGTGGGACAAAATTAGACAAAATCATGATCATCAACAATACAATTTCCTAAACAAAGGGGGAATTTCCAAGATTATACGTTAACGCTTGTTGTTTTCCTTATCGATTTATCATCTAGAGTTTAAAAATATATTTGAAGATTGAAATATTACTTGACATTATACAATTTCGAAAAGCGTTCCTCGTTTGATACTAAGCATTGACCCTATATGTTTGTTACGGGAGGGTACACATTAATCTAATCAAAGAAGAATTTGAAACGGTTGTGAACGTGTATGGTGCATATAT